TCTTTCTTTCTGTATCTCTCTCTCTCTCTCTCCTTCTCTCTTTTCTCACAGTCTTGTATTGCGAGCTTGAAGATGAAAGTCGAAGCGGGCGCACCTACGGGATATAAATGCACCCTCCTCCTAGTTTCTACTCCCTCTGAGCATTAGGGAAATCCTACGATATCGCTTCGATTCTAAGGGTACAACCAGCCTTCCCAATATTTATTCTCTTCTTTCTTCGTATCAACAGACTACACTTTCTCTTTCATTCTCTATCTCTCTCTTTTTCTCACTCCCTCTCTCTCTCTCTCTCTGTCTCTCTGTCTCTCTCTATCTCTTTCTCTCTCTCTCTCTCTCTCTCTCTCTCTTTCTGTCACTCCTTCTTTCTCTCTGTCTCTTTCTCTATCTATTTCTCTCTTTCTTTCTCTGTCTATCTTTCTATCTTTCTTTCTCGAACACTCTTTCTCCTTGCGTTCTCTTTCGGATGGTCGCCATTTTGTAGAAAACGGCGAGTAGATACTACTACGTTTATACCTATACTCTTTTATTTGAGAATAATTTGTTATTCAAGGGCTAGATAAAATTCTTTATAGGATTATTATGAACAAGGAAAATTCTTTTTTCATAATAAAAACCTTGATATTGGTTGTTGTTTATTAAAAAATAAAAAATAAAGGAAAATTCTCGACTCTTATTTTTCTGTTTATTTCGTTTGTAAGAATGTTATATGAATTTCTTTGTGCCATTCGATTTATCGAAGATCAAAGCAATTTTATTACTTAATCGAAAGACAAGAGATATGACAAGAGACGTGACAAGGGACGCCATTGTGAAACTGTCTTTCGATTCTTGAAAAATATCGATGCTTTGCTTTTCTTAAAAATTATCAGATTATTATATTATTTTTTATTTTATCGTATGCTTTTCGTAAATCACACAGCTTGAAAAATTGAAAGTTTATTATTTTTCTTCTCATTCGTTCTTTCTTTCTTTCTTTTCTATTTTTACTAACTTTTATCTTTGTTTGTTTGTTTGTTTCCTTTTTCTTTTTTTTTTTTTTTTGGAATGATCGACCAGGCCAGCCGTTCAAGCCAATGTTTTCAATTTGCGTCACAGCGAGGATAAATAAGTACGATCTTGCGTATAATTGCAGACAATAGAAATACAGACTACTCCCTTTATGTGTTCATTAAAAATCGGAAGAACACCGTATGTTCCAACTATATAGGTATGATAATGCTGGTGAATTAATCTACAGTCACCCTACCTGTTTGTCCCGATGCATGACGCAATAGATGATATTACCATAATCGTATATTCAGTGACGCGTCGAATGCGGTAAGTACTGTTATATCTATCACGATTAATATCTATATCTCATATTTGTAATTAGAAATTGCATTCTGCTAATATTTAAATTGATCATATCATAAATAAAAGATAATCGTAGTTAAAACGATCATCTTCTACGGTAAGATAACTGCTAATGTGATTATTTGCATCTCTCTCGTTTTCTTTTTTTTTTTTTCTTAATAAACACAAAAATGAAAATAAGCGAATACGTGAACAATTTTTGTGACAAGAATTTTTTACGATTAATGCGATGAATGAAAGAACGAATGAGATGCAATTAACGGTGATAAAAAGATTCGATCGAATTAAATGAACGATTAGGACGTTTTAAAACTGTACAAATTCAATTTCTAATATTCACCTAATCAAAAGGGCTATGTATTTATTTCTAACTCTTTTCCGTTTACCTATTTACTCATTGTTATATTTATTTTCATATTTAATGAAAAACAAAAAAGAAAATAACATTAGCGTATTTATCTTTTTTACCTTTACATATTTATTTTCTATCACTGTTATATTTATTTTCGTATTTAATGAAAAAGAAAGAAAAATGACAGATTAGCATATGAACGTACAGGATTAAAAAAAATCCTTCGACGCATTAAATTCGTTGAATACAATATCTATCAAAATAAATCAATTTAATGTTTTCGTTAGTAATATTTAGGAAAATTTTACGATTGGTATATTTTACGTTCAACTTGGTAGACGTTTTCTTTTCTTTTCCTTTTTCTAAACGTATATGAATATATATGTATATATATATGTATATATATATATATATATATATATATATATATATTTGTTATAACGTAACATCGTCTGCATATTCTATTCTAGAGTATCTAGCGGCATGCGACATAACACCGCCGAAACTGGAAAGGCCGCCATTTTGATTTGGATCCTGCATCAAAGTAGAAGTTACCAAATGAGATTCCTTTATGTTTTCGTATTTTAATCAATATGATAATTAATCTACCTCGTTCTTCGAGGTATTTACAAAAAATTACAAATAGAAGAGATCTATCTTCGTGTGTTAACGAGCGTCAAGAAGTAAAAAAAGAAAAAAAAAAATAAAAAGGAGAGAGAGAGAGAGAGAGAGAGAGAAATAAAACGAAATAGGAATAAAAAGAAAAAAAGGAACGAGTAAATTGACGAAGCAAGGTTGTTACGTGAAGGAAAAAACAAAAAAAAAAAAAAAGAAAGGAAAAAAAAAAGATCACGTCCGATGCGCGTGGTGTCTTCGTTCGTTAGAAATACTTCGCACGGTCTGTACATTTTCTTTTCTTCTTTCCGTTCTTACTGGGAAAAAAAAAAGAGACACGAGAATATCTATCATTAGAGAAAGAGAGATGAGATATGATTTAGGAAGGTCGCTTTTCTGTCTTGTGAAAAAATGACGAATGACGAATAGAATGGTTCGTCATGCGGGTACGTAAGTAGAAGATTCCTTCAGAATAACAGAGAGAGAGAGAGCGAGAGAGAGAGAGAGAGAGAGAGAGAGAAAAAGTGTGAGAGAGAGAGAGAGAGAGAGAGAAACTCTTTTTACTCGGAGTTGAGTGCATTCGCGTATCTTAGCATCCGAAGTACGAGGCCTTCGTGTGCAAGTAACATCGTAGAGATCTCCGTCACGTGCGGCCGCTCGCTAATTCCGTGTACGTCGCGCTTGCGCCGTTAGATTGCCGCTCTCCTTCTTCTCTCTTTCTCTTTCTATTTCTCTTTCTATCTCTCTTTCTCTCTATCTCTCTCGCGACATGTTCGTTCGTCTCTTTTCTTTTCTTTTTTTTCTTTTTTTCTTTTTACGCTTTGATCCTCTTCCTTCCACGTTCCTCATATCGCACGATCTTGCTCTTTTTTTCGCATGTATACCATCGACTTCTAAGTCTACTCTTTTTACGTGGCCAACTATTAGCGATTCGAAATAAATCGAGTAAGAGGAAGAAGAAGAATAAGAAGAAGAGGAAGAAGAGGAAGAAGAGGAAGACGCTCGATAAAGATATTTCATTAAATCCTTTTACTGGATATCTCACAGATTTATAAACTATTCGAGGTATACGAGAAACGTCGAACGTCGAATTAAAAGTAACTCTTTAGATCTTAAATCCTTTATGATAAACGAATTTTCGGTTCTTGGTTTGCCAAGTTAAATAGAATGCATTAGTAACCGGCGAACAGTAGGAAGAGAAATATAAAACCGTATCGAGGGAACCAAAATGGCGTCGCGCTTAGAAAAAGGATAAGAGAAACGGTACCATTGTATCTAACTCTTCGTCGTAATCGATTAAATGGGGTAACCCTTTTATGTCCGACGGGGTGGGAATTGGAATGGGATGTTTTAGTACGATTTTACTTACTACTTATCTATGTGTAAAAAAAAAAGGGAGAAGA